ATGCATTGGAGGTGGAGCAGATCACCGTAGCATCTGGCTGCCTAGAAACCTCTCCGTTTTGTGGCTTCAGAAAGACTCTTGGATGAAGAGCAAGTGTTGTTATCCTGATTTTACAGGGAACAGAGGAGACATCTGCTCGTTTGGAACATGTCCGACGTTTGGAACACGTCCGCGCCGTTCTCCTGCCCGTGCATGCAGAAACCCTGACTGTGAGTGAGTAACCCAGTGTTGGCCAATGCTGTGAAGGTGCTGCACATCAGCCTCTCTTTTCCCTTCTCCAGATGGCCAGCACCACACGTGGTGTTTCAGGCTCTGGGCTCTAAGAGAAGCCTATTGCATGGTCACAAATCCCACATTAATTAAAATCCCAGGTAATTATTCCGTAGGTATGTCAGAATAAAAAGAAGAAAAACACCCCGTTCCCCAGAACACAACTTTGTCACAACCACCAGCTCCTCACCAAGGTGGGTGACGTGGTCTTCCTCCTCCAGCTGCGGTTCTCCTGGGCTCGCTGACCTCAGGGGCCCAGCAGGACAACGTGACTTGCTTTCTTTGATGCTGTAGGTTTCTAACCCTCCCTTCTCTAGATGTTCACCTGCTGACAGCATAGGGTCTTGCTCCAGTGCAGTTGAAGCAGGATGTCCCGCAGAAAGCTGATAATACTCTACAGACACCAACTGAGCTAGATGCAACCCAGAGCTCATACCCATATATTTATTATTCACAATTTTGGGAGATCTGTTCTTCTGATTTCTCTACCCTCAGCAACTCAAAGGTTTCCTCCTGCCTCGCCTCATCACAAGCCACTTGCACTTAATGCTCTGCTTATTAAACCCGTCTTTCTGCTGCACTTTGAAAGGACAAATAAAATCATCAGAAACTGTTTAACTTGTGGGACTGTCTCCTTCTTAGGATACGAATAGAAAGCCAAACTGTTATGTCAGGAAAAACAAGCAGGGTTGCACATTTTTAGAAGAGGTGTGTCTTAGTTCAGATTAAAGTGGCATTCAGAAATAGTGCAAGTGCCAACATGGGAGGCAAATACAGCTTGTTACATAAAATAATCAAGTTTATTTTAATTATTTTGGAACAAGATGACAAAATCCACTTCCTCAACTACTTATTCTGTATTTAATATTTTAGCCTGCCATATTAAGTCTCTTCTCTTGCTTCCTGGCTAAAGGTATGGTAGTGTTCAAACAGTTCAAACACTCCTATTCATAAAGGATTTTATGATTTGATGTGTACATCAAACTTCAACAAAATGCAAAAAAAAACCCCATGAAACAGCAGAATATGATTTAACATGAATATTTTTATATGACAGGCTAAATTTCTTTTTGATGATACCACAGTAATCTATTCCAGTGAGGATACTGAAATTACGCTTGCCCCAAACCATGAGGGCATTCAAGCCTGGGAACCCAACGAAACACAAAGGGTGACAGCAGGGCTACCAAATGCTGGGGGCATGCACATCTGTACAACATCAAAAAAGAGGGGAAAAAAAGGCCCCACACTTCATCTTAATAAAACTTACCCCTAGAAGTGACCACTGGACTATTTGGTGAAACCATCCGCAACGACTCTGCCCGCTGCCCACTGCCCACGTCCTCAGTGAAAACCGATTTCAGGCTGTGTGAACACCAGCGACATGTGTTTCGCCGTCTGATTTGAAGACTTTCAGACACAGGAAACCCAAAGGTTCCTATAGCAGCTGATCCATAGTTCATTAAAAACTACATTGAGTTCGCCCCCTGCTTCCAGTCATCAATTATTCTTCTTCTCATGATTAAAAGGCCATTTATTTCTCCCCTCTGACAATACCTCCTTAGTCTAATCTAGTCATCTCTCAAGCAAAATCTCTTATTCTGATGCTTCTTTCTGGCCCTTAAATAATTTTTCCGCTACCTTCTCCAGCTTTTCAACTTCCTTTTAAAAATATTGACATCAGGCATGGAAAAACAAAACTCACACAGCGGTAGGAAGTGCCAGTCCCTCTGGCAGGTATCCTGCCTTACATGCCACACTAGTCCTTCCCATCGCAGCAGCCCTCTGGGGACTGGGGTTAAGGTGTTTGATCTAAATACCGAAAACCTTTTCAAATCCCTATTTCGTGAGGTGCAAATCATACCTGTGGAACTGCATTTCTCTCGCTGGCTGTCTTAAGCCTGTGTCTGGTAGTACTGAAAACCAGTTTGTTTGACCTCAACTCACCAACAGATCCAGCTTGTTCTGGGAAAATGCCCAGTCATTGTTTTTAATCACCTTATTATTTATTTACGTCATGCAAAAGTTTTAGTAGCAACGTTTACACTTTTGTTTTGCCATCACTGAGATCCCTGTGATTAGTGTCACAGCTGGGGCCAGTTGCTGGGGTACGTTACGAGCAACCTTAAACCAATGACAGTATCTTATTGTGATCGATTGGGGGAGAAAAGAAAACCCATAATAAATCACTGCATTTTTAATCCATGCACAAAAGCTTTGAAAAACAAAACAAAAAGCCTCACGTTATTGCCAGTGCTGATTTTTTAATAAACCCTATTTAAGAACAGATGATGCATAAAGGCCATATTGTGCCTATTGTTGTCCCCTGGTAACTCATTTTCATCACGCACTTTGGGACTTACTGGTAATTTGTTCAGTCTCTTTAACTCCATCAATGCTTAAAACACACAGCTGTGGAAATCTCTCCCATTTACAGATCTCATATTGTCATTTTACTTGCATTTTGGGACATTTTGACGAAAACCAAGATGACTCAGCTGAAGACGGCTGGAGTAACATTTCAAATGAGAAAGTGCGTCAAGAATTAGCTCGTTCAAACTCAGGAAAAAATCAGAGGGGTTTCATTAGGCCTCAGATGGACGCCTGTGATTTTTTCCCAATAGTGAAAATGACAATATAAAGCATTCTGACATTTTTGCTTGACAACCACAGCCTGCAACGTTTACCTGGGACACATGCATTGCATAAATTATTAAGAATCAAGCAACAAGAATTACATCCTGTTCTAATCAGTGTGCAGCAATGTCAAAAGCATATTTTTTCAAAGACATATTGAGAAAATTTGACCGAAATTCTATTTAAAAGTCATTTTTAATTGTGTTTATGCTTAAAGTGAAAACTACAGTATGCTGAATCTTTTTTTTTTTTTTTGTAATTCTTCTTTGATGCTGGATTTGCCAAAGGCTTATCAAATGAGAACAGGCCAGAAAGACGGGCAAAGAGCACTCAGATAATGTTCGGTTTCCCAGCAGCAGGGATGCCGCGTGGGTTACAGCTCATCTGCCCCCAAAACAAATAGCCTTCTCCGGGCGGGGGGGGGGGGGGGGGGAAGGGGGAGGAAATTAAATGATCCCAGTAGATAGGAAGGAAGAATAAGCAACTTCAAGATAAAGACATAACTGCCCTATTCAGACCGGCCAACACTACGTAAGTTACTGCTGATGCAGTAGAGCAGTGGCATACGACCATAGTGAGTCTTAACAGTCAAAGCAAAGTCCATTGCAACCGTGATAATCTCCCAGCAAACTTGCACCCTTACTATTTATTATCATTCAGAAGAATAAGCGGTTATCTAATCTTTATCAGAAACACAATAAAAGTTTTAATCCTGTTACAAAAAAAATGCTTGAGTATAATATAAATTGTACAGGGAAAAGTACTACTTCTACTCTATATACTCCCCGAACACACACAGGTTCCCCATAAAAAACAAGGTCCGTTTTTATCCTTCAAAGAAACTAAGAATTTTCCACAAATATAATTTTCCTTTGGAATCCATCAAACACACAGATGACACCTGCTCCTAAGAAAGCCCCCAGAAAGAATGAACTGCCCTGCAACTGACGACGGGTCTGTATTTATATACTTACTCAGTCTGCATCAAAGATAAGCCTGTTATGGAACTGAATTGAGACCAGGTGCACACGAGATGTAAATTACTTTTGGTTGCTCCTGGCTTAGGCGTGTGAACTGAGCAAGCTGCACATTCTTACTCAAGCCCCTGAAATTCTCAGTTATTCTCAAAAGTACAGAAAAAGCATGACATGGTTGGGGAAACAGCAGTTTTGCTATTTATCATAGAATGGTTTAGGTTGGAAAGGACCTTAAAGATCATCTAGTTCCACTCCCCCTGCCGTGGGCAGGGACGCCTCCCACTAGACCAGGTTGCCCAAAGCCCCATCCAGCCTGGCCTTGAACACCTCCAGGGATGGGGCATCTACAACTTCTCTGGGCAACCTGTGCCAGTGCCTCACCACTCTCAGAGTGAAGAATTTCTTCCTATCATTTACATAGTAAACCCAGGATAAATAGCTCAAGCCACTATTTGGAAATCAAATGATTTGGGGGTTGTTTTTTTATTTTTTTTTCTCCTCAAAGAGCATGCCAGTCAAAAAGCAGTATGTTGACTCCTTTAGGAAAAGTCCAGCGTGCAACACAACTCCAGAAAACAGCAAGCTAGGGCACAGCCACAGTTGACCCTATACTCCTTAAGTCCTCTGGACTTCTTTACCTCCACTCAGAAGCATAAGAGAGGAGACAGAGAAGCTCCTCCAGTGCCACCACAGCCCTTAACCCCCAGCAGGCAGAAGCAGGTACGCTGGCAGAAGGACCGAGCGCGTCGCAGCATCCCTCTGGTAGCTCACCCCAGCGGGCAGGAGACAGTTTTTTTTAAGCCCAGCAGATGATTTTTCCACACCACACAAAAGCTGGCGTTTCTGCAGCGCAACTCCAAGCCTCCCAGCTCCGGCGGGGCAAACTCGCAGCTTCAGCTCTCCCAATTCCCC